CTCGGGATCCGGTGCTTTCATCCTTGGCCCATCGGGAGCCCAACTCGTCTGTTGCCCTCTGTTCTGACTAGTTCCATATGACCTTCCTCATGTCCTTCCTGCTCCATACCAGGGCAGGGGGGGCAGCTCTCCGGTTGGTCGGGCCATGATACAAGGCATTTGCTATAGGGGTGGGAGAGTGTGGGGCTATCGTGCTCCTTTCTGGGTCTTGGGGTTTTATAATTGTGGGGATCTAACTGTTGTTTCACTGTCGGGAGGGGTTTTCTTTGTTGCTGCCCGTCTGTGGAGGTTTTGGGTTCACTGTATTCAGCTCCATCACTAGGGGTCCGGGTTTTTATACCCCTGAGGGTTTTCTCCAGGCGGCTTCTTGCGGGTGGGTGGACTGTAGTAGGAGGTTTTTATCGCCATACCGCGAGCTCCATGCGTTCTTTGTACCTAATTAATAAAACAAACGAAATGAATACAAAAAAAAAAAAAAAAAAGCTTATGGAGCCGAAGGCTATGAACCTGTGAAAGTACATAATTGTAGTGCTTCCCACTACTAGTCCTTAATTCCATCTCCTCCATCATTGTGTCTTCTGTTCACTGGGCCCTCTGCCATCCAATTTCCCTCTCTTCCAGCCCCTGGCCTGCTGCCATCCTCCATTCCCTCCATCTCTCCACCTGTCTCCTCCCATTCATATCTCAGTCCTCCTTCCTCCTTTTCCCAAATTGTATCCTCCATCCCACTACTTCCATTTCCAGAGCCCTCACACTCTGGCACTTGTCCAAGTTGGCCTTGCCTAGTTGCAACCCAACTCTTTCTCACAAACTCTCCTAAAGCCAGTAGCCCAGCCTTAGATCCAAGCACATCTGGGAGGTGAAAGTGTTGAGCCACTGATCTTAGGAGGTGTCTATGCTGTTGGTATCTGCTGCAGTATAGGATCAGGTGTTCTGGTGTCTGTGGTGGTGGTGTGCTCTTAGTACAACTGCATCTGTCACTAACATTCTCATCCAATCTGCTAAGATAGGTATTGAAGCAGCCATGCCCAAGTCTAAGTTGGGTGACAGTTGCAAGTTGTGGTCTGTGGAGCTGAAAGAAGTGTAGTGGAGGATGCAGAGAAGGTAGGTGGAAGTGGATAGACCTATAATGTCTGCCCTGTTTAGCTGGTTGTAGCTGTGTCCAGTACTGGTGCCAGGCTTTAAGGGCAGACTGCTTGATCTGTGTCTTCAATTTGGTCAGTGAGAGGAAACTGTCTATATCAGGTTGGGGATACTCAGCTGCTTGTTTTGCAAGTCTGTCAGCTTCATCATTACCTTGAATACCAGTGTGACTTGGTACCCAAGAGAGATGAAGCTGTATGTCCAGGTCAGAGGACAGAAGGTCCTTTGTAAGTTGTTGAATCTGTTGAGAAATTTGTTGTCCAGGGTGGGGAGAGAGTCTGTGAGAGTTGCTGATTGCTGCTTGGTTGTCGGTGAAAACCAAGATGTGCTTGAAGGATAGGCTGGACCTGCTGGCTTCTGTGAGTGCGCTGGCAATACCTACCAATTCCCCATCATACACCTTCATCCCACATCCTAATCCAACTCTCCATCTTCCAACAATCCCACCACCATGCATCATTACCACTCCTGCTCCTACTCCTCCATTTTGCAGTTCACTTCCATCTGTGTAGAGAACAAGGTTTTCTGAATTGTCGAGGGAGTTGAGGAGAGTAATATGACTTTTGGCTGCAGTGTCTTTGTCTTCCTGGCTGATAGTGATGTCAAGTCTGGAGGTGGTGTCAGGCAGGTTGGTATCCCAGGGTGGTTGCAGGTTTGGGTAACACTGTTCAACATCTTGTCCTACAGGCAGGAATGAACTTAGTGTATTTAACACTCTTATTAGTTGGGTGGGGAACTTAGCTTGCTCAGAATCAGTTTTCCTCCAATCAGCCTGCATCTTGCCATATGGCTCATGCTGAGGATTCCACAAGTATGTTCTGTTATGTTGCTTGTAGGAAGAAGTCCAAGATATGTCACTCTCAGAGGAGGAGGAGCATGGTCTGTCTAGTGGAATAGATGAGGAAAGGGTGCTTGGGAATGAGCTGGGTGTTCTCTGCCTGATAGGATGGTCTGAAAGCATCTGTAAAACTCTGTAAGCATATCTCTTACACTGTCTGTCAAGTCTCAATGGAATGCGAAGGGTGGCTGCTTCAATCTCCATTGCAGCAGTTGGTGAAGTTCTGAAAGCCCCCAGGATTCTTCTGTTTGCCTCTGCCTGCAACTTCTGTAACTTGTTAGCAAGACCAATTTGACCTTTCCACCAGACCTCTGCTCCATAGTCAGCTATTGGAGTAATGCAGGTATAGTATAGTTGCCTTATTGCTGGTGCTGAAAGGCCCCATTCTGAGTTGGATAATCTAGAAATCATGTTAAGTGCCCTAGTTGCTGCAGCTGTCTTCTGTTTCACATGGTAGTTAAACAAAAGCTTCCTGTCAAGCCAAACTCCTAGCCATCTAAGATGCTGAGAAGGGAAGACAACAGTGCCATTATGAGAGTGACAGGGAAGTTGGTAGTAAAGTTCCTGGTTTTGTTGTGAAAGTGCATGAGTTCTGTCTTGGGATCATCAAATACTATTACATTGTCAGCTGCCCAACTCCAGGCCCTTCTGGCTACTACCTCCAATGCCTTGGAGTTAGCCTGCTCAGAGGGGCCTGTGACTATAAAAGCAATATCATCAATAAAGGAGGGGGATCTTAGCTGTGGAGTCAAAACTCCTGGTTCCAAGTCCTTGAACAGGTTTGTTAAGTAGAATAGGAAGAGGATGGGTGAAATGCGAGAGCCTTGAGGAATGCCTGTGTTGACTGGCAGGAGAGGTTGTCTTTGTCCATCAAAAGCTAACCCCAGTTTCCTGTTGGAGAGGAAGCTGTCTGTCCAGGTAAGAACTGGTGGAGGAAATCCTAAAGACTGCAGCACCAAGAGTAGTTGTGTTTTGCTAACATGGTCAAATGCACCTTTAACATCAACAAAGAGGGGAGAAAGGACTTTACCATTCAACTTAGCCTGCTGAATATCATGTGTTAATGCCATCACTGCATCCACTGCACTTCTTCCTTTCCTTCCTCCCATTTGCTCTGGGTGAAGAAGGCCTTTAGTTTCTGCAATGTAAGCTACTCTGTTGGCCATTATCTTTTCTGAAATCTTTCCTAAGCAGTTTAGCAGAGAGACAGGTCTATAAGCTTTGGGGGTAGTGTAGTCTGCTTTGTTAGGTTTTCTGATTGTAGCTCCAGTTGCCTCTCTCCAGCATTGGGGATGATACCCTGTCTTCAGTACAGTTTGAAATAACTTAACAAGAGGGATAGGAATTGCATGATACACTTGCCTCAGACAAAGAAAGTTAATACCATCAGGTCCTGGAGCTTTATGAGGTGCAGATTTGAAGATTGCATCTTTTACCTCCTTGTCAGTAATATCATACCAGAGAAAGCACTTATCTATTTCTGTATCCTCAGGGTTGAAAGTTGTTTTGCTTGCAGGTGGATTAGGGAACATGGCTTCTCTGAACATCATGCACTTACTATCAAAGTCAGTAGCACACTGTAGGTCAAAAGACAGGGGAGGAGTTTTGAGGGACTTAGTTGGTCTAGTATACTTAACTGCAGTAAAGATATCTTGACCCCTAGCTGAGTTGAGGAAACCCTTCCAGCAGTTAGATTTGCTGTCTCTGATTTTCCTAAAGTACCCGTTCCTAGATCTTTTGTACTCAGTGTAGTCAGTCTCAAGTCTGGAGTGTTTCCATATTCTGCAGCATTTGGCCATCTCAGTCCTCATACTAGCAAGTTCCTCAGTCCACCACCTCTTTGATCTAGAGCAAGGTTTGCTAAGAGGAACATGTAGAGAGAGAGACTAGTGAATTGAGTCTGTGGGAATACATGCAACCTGGTCTAAGGATTCAGCTGGACCATAATCAAGCAGGAGAGTAAATGTAGGGGAAGACTTAGCCATTAATTCCAGCAGTGTCTTGTGAAAAGATTTCCAATCTGCTGCCTTCCAGTTGAATTTGTTGCTCATAGGACTTGGAACTAAGCAGTTAGCATCCAATACTAGGGAAAATCTTACCACCTCATGGTCACTTCCAGTATGTGCATCCTGATCCACAGCCCAGTCAACTAGCCTGTCAAAGATATCAGGAGTGCCTAGTGTTAAGTCCAATATTGAAGTCCCATTTCCTTGTCTGTAGTTGTAGGTAGGAGTATCAGGGTAGTTGACTAGATCACACCTGTTAGCTACAAACCAGTCCACTAGAGAGTCACCTCTGATTTGCTGTTGAACTTCAGAATTCCACCAGGGATGATGGGCATTGAAGTCACCACAAAGGATTGAGGATGGTGGTAGCTGAATGTACTGTAAAGTTCTGTCCATATTATAGACTGGTCTAGAGTTTGGTGTTAGTTTTCTTCTTTCATTATAAATATTCCAAAGAGTAAACTTCTCTGTTCCAGCTAGAATGTGGAGTGGAAGGATATCACCATCAAGGTGAGGAAGAAGGTCAGCTCTATAAGAACAAAAGATATCTTGTCAGGATTTGCTAATGTAGGCAGCAGTTCTAGGTTTTTCACCATCAGCAGTATCAGGTAGAATAGAATCAAAGGAGGGGTGAGAGTAAGGAGTGCCATCAGATGCCAGCCAGGGCTCTTGAATCAAAATAATATCTGCTTTGCCATTAGTGTAGTGAAGGAGAGAGGTCAGAACTTCATAAGTCTTTGCACAATTGTGCTGGATAATAGAGATTGGCTTGCCTCTCATAAGGAATGAGAGGGGTTGTCAGCAGCAGCAGGTTCAGGTTTCTTGACAATATTCCTATAAACCTCACACCTTAAGTCAGTAGATTTGTGAGATCCCTCACAGTTAGCACACTTGAACTGGGTATGAGAATACTCCTTGTTAGCCTGACAGGTAGAGCATTAGTGTAGCCTAGTGGGGTGAGTTCCACCACAGAGTTGACACCTAGGATCCTGCCTGCAGACTTTCTGATGATGTCCAAACTTCTGACAGTTTCTGCATTGTGAGGTGGGTCTGGTGTCCATGAACTCTGAAGTTCTTACAGAAGTTCCTGCAATCACAAGTCTATTTCTCAGTGCATGCTTCAATTCTCCAGCAGTTTTAAAGGAAAGAACTAGGGAGGAGTGTAACTTTCCTGCTGTGGCCACTCCTCTAGTTAACCATCTAGGTGTAGCAGCAAGATGAATGTCCTAGTTGTAGGTCTCAATATCCTCTCTGAAGGCTTCCATTTCCTTCTCCTCACTGTCTGCCACAATCATGGGAGTAGAAACAGAGTGTGCAACCAACTTGTACCATTTCTTCCCTTTTTTTTTTTTTTTTTTTTTAACTTCATATGTCAT